CCGGCGCCGAGGACCCAGCCGGGGCCGAGCGTGCTCCGCGCCACGGCGCGCGCGTCGAGGCTCGCCTAGACTCGAGAATTTCACAGCGCGAAAAAAGAGATCGCGACCCGTCCAAAGCGAGCTCGACACCCGGCCCGCTCGAGCGCGTGAGAGACCCGGCTCGAGCGGGTAAAAAGACCCGGCTCGCTCGCGCGCCCCTCGTCCCTCGCGACGTCCGCCGCCGCCGGGAGGCTCCGGCCCGCGTCGCCGCTGCGGTCGACCTCGACGACGCCGCGCTCCACCTGGGGGATGCTCTCCGCGAACTCCCGGGGAAGACGCCGCGAGGACGCGCGAAGAAGAGGCCGCTCGCGTCGGAGTCGTCGGCGATGCGCGCGCCGCGCGGCGCCGTCCGGAGCCGCTCGCCCGGCGCCTGCGCGCGAATCAGACTTCGGTGACTTCGGTGGAAAGCTTCGACGCCGCGTCCGGAAATCAATGTCTCCGGTGGATAACTTGCGTCCAAAAATCGGCCGAAACGACGGAGCTCGAGAGTTTTCGGCCGCGCGTCTCGCTCGAGACGCGGCCCCGCGACGAGGTCCACGCGCACGGCCCGCAGCGCCGCGAGCGGCTCCACGTCGACGGCCGGGTGCCGCGCCGCGACGAGGGCGAGCGCGCGCGCGAAGCCCGCGGCGTCGCGCGCGGGCGGCGGCGAGTCCGGGAGCCCCTTCGCCGGCGGCCCCGCGCCTAGGGAAACACGAGTACAAAAAACCGAAACCGCCCCCAATAAACGACGCACCCCCGTCGACGCCGCGCCGCCGCAGCAGCGCGTCCTCCGCGGCGTCGAGCGCGCCGTCGAGCGTCGCGAAGAACTCGACGTCGAAGCCGCCGCCCTCCGCGACGGCCCGCAGCCCCCGCGCGACGTCCGCGCCGCAGGCCGCGCAGGACACGGCGGCGCCCGCGGCCCGCGCGGCCCGGAGGACCTGCGCGACGACGTCGCCCGCCGCGCCGTCGAGGCCGTAGCAGAGCTTGAGGTCGAGGACGAGCGACT